TCATTTTACTCTTAAGACAAGCAAATTAAAATGTAATAAACTTGGGAGTTCGTGATTTCGTTTTCGAGATACATTAGAGTCAAAGTAACAATGTCCAAGGTTGCTAGTACCAGCGCGCGCAAATTTCTTTTATTCTTTTTTATGCCAGCGGCAAGTACTGTAATCGTCGTAGATGCCCCAGAATCAATATTATTCACTTGCTAACACTTCGAGTCAATTCTTAGTTCGCGTTCGGATAGAAAACGAACTGTGCCTAGTAAAGTTGTATAGCGTCAAAGTTTTGTCTATTACAAGTGAACTTCATTCGTAATTGGATCAGCCAGAATAGTAAAGGTTGAGGAACGATGTTTCCTCGACTCATACCATGATAAAATATGAAGTCTAGATTAGGCTTGACTTGCAACCCAAGAGGCTAACATCTTGCGGTCGCCAACCTTTCTGACCTCATGGACCATTAAACTCAATTTTGAATCCCGTCGACCACTATCATGAATTTTTAAACGATACAAACTTCTATAGTTAATATAGATAATAAAAATTCCATTTTACTTTATTAATAAGAAATTCACTTGTTTCATTACTGTATAATAAATTAGTGTGAAGTTTGTTGCTGCTTGTTTGAAATAAGTTTATGGATTCTTGGCTCTTTTCCACAAAGGACGAAATCGCACTCATATTATTTATTGTTGATTATTTATTAATTTATTGACATAATTACGTATTGATAATAGTACTTTCGGTTTAGATGTAGATTGAACAAAACTCTCCTAATGAGTGAGAAAAAGGAACTAAGCATTTCTTTTATAATACTACACGTAACCTTGAGTTGATCAATAGACCACCAGTGGTCCACCGCAGGAGCGTGCCGTGACATTTGATGATAGGGAAGCTGTGTTTCTATAAGAAGCCGACATCCAGGGGCAATCAGTTAATTCTTTCTTTAAATGTATTTTTAATAGATTATTTATCTGACGTACTTAATAAACAAGTTCATTATAATTACCTCTGTTATTAGATCCAATATATTCCATATGCCCTCTAAATGCTAATTCTTGCTTTGATAAAAACATATAACATCTATTTATTTAGATATAATATATCTATTACCCATATAATATATCTCGTTACAATTTTCAATATTTATTTTATATTATTTACTAATGTTAAATTCTATTCCGCTTCGATTTCCAAATTGCTTCAAATACGAAAGAATCGACGATTTTTCGTGTCTTTTGCCAGCTAAATTGTCAAAGACATTCTTATTCCACACACTAATTTCACTCTGTAAATGCATTTTTATGCATTTACAGAGCCATTTTATCGTGAAAATATCGAACAAATTTTTTTATTGAAGCGTTTATATTTAACTTAGGCATTGGCCGTTCTCTTTTAATAATGTTTTCTTTTTCATTATATGATCTCGAGCCAAAACTTTTTTAAAATAAATTTTCAATATCGCAATTACATTCCGAATCGCTAGCCACGATATAAGGGCTAAAATTAAAAATAAAATTATAAAAACTTACTTGGTGAAATAAAATGTGTGGTGGATATACATACCTGGTACAAAACATTCTTCAATTGTATGAATATACTTTTAAAGAAAATTATAATTAAATATAACTTTGTAATGAAACGTACATGAAAATAACATAAAATATTCTTTACTCTTTAAATCTTAACCACTTAGTCAAATAGCTCCCTACGAGTGGAATCAGAGACGGTCCTGCTAGGTGTGCGGTGTGTACTGTACATGCACGCGGGCTGCCAAATCCCGAGGGTGCCGATACCCTCGGGATTTGGCAATGTCAAATGTTTCTTTTGTCGCATCACTAATATACCTCAAAAGACGCGACAGGGTTCTTGTAAATTTTAAACGTTTCTCACCATAGCTGTAAAAGTCTAAATATGTTAAACTTAATAGATTGTCCGTCTTTTGTTTTCTAACTAATTCGTTTTAGGACCAGGTGTTGTCCACGGAAATTTCCAAAATTTACAACTTTTCGGTCACTCTCGTCGAACTGGAAAAATTTCTGTCTTTATTACATCTAATACAGTATTTCGAAGAAATCAGTCCCCACTGTACTCGGCTAGAGATTGATTCGGTTAAGCTTTTGTTTAAGTAATATTCCGGCTCTTTCATCAGGGTTTTGTTTATGTCCCCAATTCCCTAATCGCTTAATTATTTAACTACTACTTAAGTAGAAATAAGTCGAAACCAGTTACTTTGTACTCGAATATTTGTAGTCTCGGGAAAAAGTGGAAAGACAAATTTTTATGACAAACGGATACATAAATCGTAAATTTAAGGAAAATAAATTCTAGAGCCTTTTCTGTACCTGGTGCATCTCTCTCATTCATTAAATTTAGTTGTAAATGATGCTACCAAAGTAACAGTTAATTTTTTAACATTATACAAGAATTGTACACGTTTTTTTCTACACTCCCTTAAAGATGGGATGTACGAAATCGTAATATCACTGGTTTAACATCGAAATCCGTGAGTAATATAAAATCGGAAAGCGGAATAAATCTATCAAATATTTTAATGCATTTTTTTAACTCCTGTCAACTATACAGAACTATCGTAAAAACATACCAGTAAATTCTTATCGGTTGGGTTAAGTTATAAATCTACTCATTATTCACGTAATCGAAATATCTAGTGGGCAGGCGGCTAACAGCCCAGAACCGGTCCTTGACAGAGTTGTAATCTTATATGTGTGCAGCTTTCACCCAAGGTCGTAGGCTTCCACCGGCTACACCGGGTGAGGTTGGTGTTCTGTAAAGCGCATGCGCAAATCTTGCTTTTCGTAATCTGAAAATACAGGAGATTACACTCCGTCACTAATATTCTAATATACAATAGCAATTTTTTTTTGTTTTTTTCCACGTGTAGTATAGAAAATTATAATAAGATACATAATGCGGTTATAACAAAATATTGTGCGATTATTTTCATATAATTAAAATTAATATTTATTTATTTTTTAGAGAATACGAGGGAAGCGGCGCTTCCAACGCTTCTAATGACGGCACGCCACTGGTCCACCGGTTGACAACCGCTGGGCTAGATGGCTAAATCTATGAAAACTCCGGGTTCGAACGCGATCTAGTTGGATAATTTAACGGGCCACCAGTGGTCGAGTGGATAAAACCACTGAACACTGGTAGTTGGTCGTATGTTCGACCCGCTAAACGAGCTCGCCACGTGGAGTTTTCCGGGTTTTCTTCACTTTAATAACAGCTAAATAGCAGCCAGTTTCTCGTAATAGTCCTCCCGGGAGGCATTCCTCTCTGCAGAACGCCCATGTATCGCGTTGCCGTAATAAAAATTAAACCAAACCAAACTAATCGATAATTTTTCATAGGCAACACAATTACGTATTTTTTATTCAGGCGATCGACTTATTGGATGATGATTGACCATTACGGACTGGCCTACATTGGCATTGAGAGTCAAACTAGCTTGTATTGGGCATAATTGTACTTACAATGTGCTGATATCGAAAGTTGAATGGCCGAGGCGATTAAGTCTGACATCAGCTTATTGTTCTGAGGAACCTCAAATCTAGTGCTGCCACTTTTTCAAAATCGCTGACCCGGATGGCAGGTCAGGTTTGTTTCGAACAGAAGTTCCTGATGCATACGCAATGTCATTTTACAATGCGAAGAATAACGTGCTTGCCAGTTCTAAATCAGTTATATTTAGGGACTAGGGACTTGCTAGGAGTAACGTAAGTAACCCTAAATTAAGAAAGAACAGGTACAGATGACTTAGCTCTATTAGGTATTGGAGACATGTACGATCGTACACGCAAAAAAGTAAAAAATAAAAGATCGACAGGTCGCGCGCCACACGTCGGCATAAACAGACTAACATGGCAGAATTGCAGATGAGTTTCAGTGAGTGTGAGTTCTTTCGCTATTAAAATAGTATAAATTTGTAAAAATGTTTGCAAGAACTTTGTTTCATTGTAATTTCACAATTTCTACGAAATTCCCGGACAAAATTAATAGTTCACCCGGACAGCGAGTCAATTCCCGGACTGTCCGGGTGAAAACCGGACGGGTGGTAACACTACTCAAATCAAATCAAATCCGGGCAGTTGAAAAACTTGGAAGTTTTTGGGATTGATCTATCCCGGATATGTCAGGCCCCGTCCCTTGTCACCCAGCCGCTCCCATTGTGAACCTGGCTGAACCTACGACGGGCCCGTAAAACGACATCTTAGTGCTCATAGGACGGAGTCGAATGTAAAGAAAAGAATGTACTGTACTGTGTCTCAAACTGATGGTCAGATAGCCATCGTATATAGCCATCGTATAGCCATCGTCAGATAGATCGGTTAATTAAGATGGCAGTCAAACTCTCTACGGGATCTGGGATTACATTTGAACGAGTCGAAAAAACCCACGAATTTTTTGAGAATGGGCCAGTTCTCACCACCGGTTGCCCACTGTGGACTTGACTGAACTCATAATGGGTTTGCTAAAACAGGATCTCAAGTGTCCACAGGACGAAAATAGTACCATGCATAGACATCTGGCCGACTCAAATCATTAATCAAATAAAATTAAATACAAGGTATATCCATTAAAAATCACAATAATACAATAGACATATATTATTGTAAAAAGCTATAAATTCAAAATAATTTACTGCAAATATATATATACCTTCATACTTTTACCGCGAGAGGTCGTAGTTTGATCTAAAGTAGACGGACGCAACATGCTGTCATCCGACACCCCGCCGGCCACCGGACAACATCCATCACGGGTCAGAGTCGATCAACAAACTCCCCTCGACCGGGAGACCGCTCCGACCACCACGATTACAACCCCCCAACCAGACCCCACTTATTGGCTATTCCACGAGGAACCCTCCAACGCGGACCTCCTTCAGCAGATTAACTCCTGCACCGTTACTCTAANGCAGATACTGCTGTCTGCGGAGATAGACAACGCATCGGACCGCATTGAACCGAACCAATAAAGGTTTTTTCAGACCTTATTTTGTACCGAATATAATCTTAATTCGAAGGAACTACTGATCAAAGAATCTGCGTAAGTACAATCCTTTTATTAACAATCCCTCGCGGTCGGGAGGAGGTGGAGGTGGAATTCAAGGAATTTCCCCCAGCGGACGGACGCAACATGCTGTCATCCGACACCCCGCCGGCCACCGGACAACATCCATCACGGGTCAGAGTCGATCAACAAACTCCCCTCGACCGGGAGACCGCTCCGACCACCACGATTACAACCCCCCAACCAGACCCCACTTATTGGCTATTCCACGAGGAACCCTCCAACGCGGACCTCCTTCAGCAGATTAACTCCTGCACCGTTACTCTAAACAACCCGACATGTGTCCTGCAAACGGAGAAAACACACCCCCCTCTATCTGGTAAACGTGTATATCAGCAATTCAAGCGCTCACATGAAAATATACACGGGAAAGTATTAAACATCTCGACGACAAGAACCGGAAAAATTTTTGTATCAGCGACTCAGGCATTCATCCCCACCATACTCAAACTCACCCAAATTGACGATATTCCTGTGCGCGCCTGCCTCACTAGAGGCTCATATGCCCGTGTATGTATAATAAAAGGCGTACCTGTGGAGCTGCACGCACAGGAAATTTACCAACTACTCAAGGAGGACGGCCAACACCCAATAAGTGTTCAACGTTTTAGCCGTAAACTAGATGGCCAAATAATCCCTACCGGAACAATCAAAATTTCTCTCGTCGCGACCGAACTCCCCCGTCACCTGCGCATCTATCTAATGGCGTATCGAGTAGAACCCTACGAGGAACGGCCCAGACTCTGCCAGCAATGCGGAAAATTGGGGCATACCAAAAAATTCTGCAGAGGTGTCCCCAGATGCAAGCGCTGTGGGGATCCACAGCATGATAAGGAGTGCACAGCAGAGGTTACTCGCTGCATAAACTGCAATGGCGATCACGCATTCACCTCACCCCTATGCCCCAGTATTCAATATGAAAAGGCCATACTGAGACATCAACGGCAGTACAACTGTTCGCGCAGGGACGCCCGAGCGGCCATACACCCCCCACCTGACAATAATCGTTCCTACAGCACAGCGACACAACAGCCTTCCCACCCCCAGAATCAAACCCACGATCGGCCCAGTCAAGCTGCGATCCAACGTGCCTCAACCGACGACCCGTGGGAACAGCTCATCACCATAAAACAAGCCATAACCAACCAAAATAACATTCTTGCTAAGCTACTACAAATCCTTGAAGAAAGTAAACTCATCGCTCCTCTCACCCAACAAAATGTCATCACCACCTCTAGTACCATACAACAACACATCAATACCACACGTGAGATTCCCCCCGATCCGACACATGAAGCACTCGCTACCAACGAGCAAACGGAGCCGAAGCAATTACATCCCAAAACGCAATCACAATCGACACCCAACGAGACTGGGAGCACTGTCGAAGATCCCTCAGGAGCTATGACAGTCTCAAAACGCCACGATCGAGCGATATCACTTGATCACTCAGCCGACAACTCTATTAAAATCAACAAAAAACCCAAGAATAAAAACGGGAAGAGTAGCAACAATTCAGCATCGATAACCCCACAGACGCCCGCAATCCACACCCGCTCGCAACGTTCTTAAATATTTTACAATGGAACGCCAATAGTCTCCGTAATAAAATGATACAATTAAGCGCCGACCGTATATGGGAAAACTATCAAATCATACTAATCCAAGAAACCTGGTTCCAACATAATAACCACATAAACCTTCCGGGGTACATTGCCTATCACACCCACCGCACCGGCACCACAGGAGGAGGCCTTACGACTTACATTCACCATTCAATTCCGTGCTCTTACACAGGTTCCCGGTTGTCAAATGGTCAGGGCGATCCTGAATGGCTCAGTGTTACAGTTTATGTACCACAAGTCATACAGGTTACTAACGCCTATTTCCCCCCCCCAATCACCGCCTGAATTATTTAACGATCTCTTCCGTCACCTTCCGGACCAGTCCACCATTCTGGGTGGGGATTTCAACGCCCACCACGAGATGTGGGGTAATCACTCCACCGACACACGGGGTCGTATCTTAGCCGACCTCATCGACCACTCCCACTTATTTCTGCTCAATAATGGCCAACTCACGCATATAAATGTCAACGGTCCAGGGACCGCCATCGATTTAACTCTAACCACCACCGACATCGCACTCCAAGCGACGTGGGACTCCTCCCATCAAGAATATGGCAGCAAGCACTGCATGATAACCGTTGGACTCCCTCACACTCGCCCCCTCTACCCTTACCGGGCCCGTAACAATAATAACCCAGGCTGCCACACATCCAATCCGGACAAGAACATTACTTGTCAACAGACTGACCGGAATGCGAACTCCAACGACGTAAAAACCATGAATATCTTGATCGCTTGGGCGGCACAAAATGAATGGACCTACGAGGACCTCGTCCAACGTTATCACAACCTGTTTGCCATGCGGAGAAACAACAGACTTAGCGACCGACCACCTAAACCCCCATGGTGGAACCTTGACTGCCAACGAGCGCTCGCATCCAAACGCAAAGCTTATCATCGCTACCACAGGCACATCAATCGAGATAATTGGATACAAGCCAAAAAAGCCACTGCGGAATTACAGCGCTGCATCATCATCCAGAAGCGAACTTTTTGGGAACGTATGGCGTCCTCTCCCCTGTACAAGAATAACATATGGAGCATCCTCCGCCGCCTCCGTAATAGTAACAACTCCCCCTCAAGTAACCTCGTCCTGCGGCACAACAACCGTACCCTAATCACCCCGAAAGATCAAGCGGCCAAATTCCTCAACTTCTTCATCCCTCACTTACGGGTTCAACAGCCGATCATTAGACGCCCAAATAATCCCACATACCAGCAGGACTCTTACAATCGCCCCTTCACTAATAAGGAACTGGATAATGCAATAGATAGAGGGCGGAACACGACGCCTGGGGCCGACGGCATCACGACAGGCATACTAAAAGGGTTTGATGTTCAAGCCAGAAACCACCTATTGGAAGTCTACAACTCCATATGGTCGTCGGGCAACATACCAACGAAGATGAAAAATACCATCATCCTCCCCATCCACAAACAAGGAAAAGACCCGACCATAGTCGAGAACTACCGTCCAATAGCGCTCACCTCCACGATAATGAAAACGATGGAACGGATGATCCTCTATAGATGGCAGCGCATGGCTACTCATAATAACTGGTTTAACTATAAGCACTTCGGCGGCCTCCCTGGCAAAGGCACTCGTGACTTACTTACCCATCTGATGTTACATCTACACACCCTCCGGAATAAAGGCTATTATATCAACGTAATTACCCTCGATATTTGCAGTGCTTACGACAAAATCAACCACTCTCATATTATAAGGAAGGCTTTAGATAAAGGACTAAAAGGCAACTCAATTCTCTGGCTTCAAGACTTCCTAGCCAATAGGCAGGTACAAATTCGCTGGAGGGGCTACCTCTCCCCTAGCAGCACTCAATGCGTCGGAATCCCACAAGGCAGTGTTATCTCCCCATTCCTGTTTGCCATCTTCATGAATGATATCTTTCATCTAGAAAATGAACACACCAAAATATATGTCTACGCAGACGATGTCACTGCCGTCACGCATGGTACTAACCCGACTCACCTACACAGTAACACGATCCAGTTTTTAAACAAGTTTGGCAAATGGTCCCAGAAAAACTCTGCTCAGTGCCAACCACGGAAGTGCGCGATCATGCGCATTCCCACCAAAATCGGTGCCAACCAGGATTTCATCCTCAATAACCAACATATCCCCGAGGTCTCCAAAATCAAACTACTTGGCGTGTATATTACTGCACGCCTCACGTGGAACACCCACATCCAATACATTCGGGACAAGAGCAGAAAGCTCATGAACATCTTTAAAATTTATTGTAACAAAAAACACGGCGGCCAGCCAAAGGATCTCTTGTGCATCGCCGACAGCACTATCGGCAGCTTACTCATGTATGTCGTCCCCAGCATCGCCACATTAACTAAAACCCAGATGGCCACCCTAGAATCCTTACAGATGCAGTACGTTAAACTCAGCTATGGTCTCCCTTCGACTGCTACCAACATTATTACTCGCAGAGCGACCAACACCACTACTATTGCTTGCCGGTACAGGAAATATCAAATAAAACACTATAGTTCCTATCTTCAGAAGGCTTCGCGGGACGACTTCTCTCGGAGGATCATTCAACTCATTCACAGCAATGACGGTGCCACCCTTGTGAAAATCCCTATAGCCCACTACATCAGGAACTGGACTAACAGCCATAACATCCCCATCGACAACCACACGACTCAATACCCGATACCCTCCGACGCCCCCGTCTTCGACATACACATTGATGACCTTCCATTCCAGGACTCCTCCCTACCGGACCCAGTGATTCAATCCACCTTTCTCGAGTGGGCAACAATACAAGACCTCTCTACTTTCCTGGCCACCGACGGCTCCAAAACAGACACGACCGTCTCGGCAGCGTTTGTAGACCACTCCACCAACACCAAAGCTCATTACACTCTACACCCCGAGGCCACTATCTTCACGGCGGAGGGTTTCGCCATCCTCAGCGCATTACAACATGCTACAGAGACTAATAGTAACATCACCTTGTGCACGGACTCCAAAGCTATCCTCACCGCCACCAACGCCCATCACGATAAGTCTCCATCCATCATTCACAACATCATNATTTTATATTGAGATATGGAATTGATTATGATAATCTGGGTGTGTTTTTGTTAGGGGTTTTTGTATATCAGTGCGAACGTTTGAAAGAGAAAAATGCATAAGTTTCCACCTTGAATGTTTTGTTTTCATATGTTTATCTCATACCCAGCAGATTGATTGCTGTTACCAAGTACAATAAATGTGGTGTATGCGATTTTACAAATTTAATTTTGCATATAAAATGAGTACTGTTTGTAAATAATAAATTTAGATGTTGCAAGTGTAATATTTGACATTTGTGTATTGTGAAAGATTTGAATAGTTAAAATTTCCCGTATATAACTATAATAAGGTCCTTTTGTGTTATTTCCCCACGTTGTCTTTTGTAAATTTTTTCAATCCTGAAACTGGTGCTTGAACTCAAAGTTGAATCAATTCGAGCCTTAGCTAAAAAATGAAATAAAAAGAAGTGGGGGAACTCTTAGGGAAATGGTAGCCTCTTATGTGAGTTTATATGGTGCTGGTGGTGACATGCATGTGTAATTTGATCAAATAATTTGGGGCATAAAGGCATTTTTTCCCTCCTATGCCATAAAGTATATATGATTTTGTTACAAAAAGATGTTTAGTAATGTACTTAATTAATTAATTTTGTTTCCTTTTGTGTCAGTATCAACTTTAATTTTAAATTATTATTATTGGTAATAAATAATAATGCAATTCATAATTATTTTTGAAATGAAATCTTTAAAATATCTTTGCATTATTTTAGAAATTTTGCTGTTCACTTTGTAATGACTTATCACATACATTCTAAACTTGCTTTATAGCTTGTTTATAGTATTTAAATCATTATTTTTAGTCATGAATGTCATTCTTCCTAAATAAAAATATACAGTCCCATAAGTCTGTAACCATAGTTATGTTGATCCTCATTTATTCTTTTACAGGTAAGCATGCTGAGTTAGGGTGAACAAATTCATGTTATGAGGGTTATTTCTTTTCCAACCTACACCAACCCAGAATAAAACAAGAATGAAGAACAAAACCACTTTATTTGTAGAAGGTAGTTAGTCTTCACCTATTTTTCCACATAATTGCTTTGTCGATTCAGGCAGACACCATACCATGACACCAGCTTTTGTATACTCGTGTCAAAGAACATTGCCACCAGGCCATTCAGCCAACCTTTAACAATGTCAGTCAACGGTATACAATATGGACCTTAAAATTTGAGGTAACTCCTCACTGACCTCAGAAACTGTGAACCTATGCCGTTCTCGCACTAATTGATCCACTTTGTTCACCAAATCGTCGGTTATCACACACTTCCTCTCTTGACTGCCGTCATCATGAGCATTGTCATATCCTTGTTTGAATTTCCTGCACCATTCACGCACAAGTCCATAGCTCATGAGGTTGTTCCCAACACATTACACATCCTTTGATGAATTTCACCTCCATTCAGCCCTTTGACCTGTAGAAATCGAATTACTGCTTGTACTTCACATTTGGCAGCATCATGTTTGTGTTTACTGCAGAGTAACAAATGTCTAAAATAGCTTGGCACAACACTAAGTGGTGAGGAAATATACTGCATGAAAGAATGTGAGACAGGGACAGGGTGTGCACCCTGTCCCTGTCTCACATTCTTCCAATTTCTTTTCATGCATTAGTGGAGGTTGAAAAAAAAATAACCCTTATATTTTGATGATAGGACCTGCATCAGTGTGAAGTTGACAAAGTTTAACAGGCTACATTCAGATCTCCTACTAATCACATACTACACTCTAAATGCTATTTGTTAAACTTCTTGGCAACTTCTCACTGATTGCAAGTCCCCACCATCAAAATGATGAATCTGTTCCTTCCTACTCAGTGCCATTTTTCATCTGTAAAAGAAAAAACAATGAACATAACTCCT